GGCTGCGCTTCTCCTGCACAGCCTCCTTCTCACACACACCGAGAAACAAGCTCCGACTCGGACACAGCCCCAGAGCTACCCACTGAGGCTGCCTGCCGAGCACCGCCCGCGTCCAGAACACTAGCCACTGCCCCCGCCGGTTTCCGTTGGCGGGGACCCCGGGGGTGGGTGGGCGAGCGGGCGAGCGAGCGAGCTCCACTGTCGGGTTTCTTTCCGCTTGATTTTCGCTGGTGGATAACGAGGACATCCCGCGGCAGCATCAGTGGCTGCGAGAGCCAAGCTGATCCCGATCTTCGGGGGAAGGGAAACAGGCAGACCGTGGAAGAAGATGCCTGGAGAGGAGCGGCGAGCGCGGAGAAAGCCGCGGGCGACTCCGTGCTGGTCGCTGCCACTAAGTAAGGAGGATGCGCGGCAGGGTGCGAGCAGGACCCGGGCGAGCGCCAAGCGGGAGGCGGGAAGGACACATCTGTGCAGCCGTGTGTGTCGGAATGCGGTAGTCCAGCATCCGCCGGGCTGGAGGAAAGGAAGCGGCGCCGGGTTGATTTGGGGGGGGGGAAGGATTGGGAAGAGAGGGAGGCAAGAAACCCTTGGTTGTATCCGAGGCAGACTGTAATGGGGTGGGCTGGTGGGAGCAGCTGCGGCAGCTGCCAATAACGATGGGGAGAGCTTCCAGAAGGCTTGTTTGGGGGGACCAAGTTTCTGGCGCAGACTGGAGGTGCGATCAGCGTCGGATCCTAGCACTGGGGCTTTTCTAGTCGCATATAGGTATAGCTGCCCCCCCCCCCCCGCGCGTGCTCCATCGCTTCAGCTGCTGCTTCCTCCCGTTGCTTGCCCGTCATTTCGTGGTGCCAAAAATCGCGGAGATTCCCCGAGCGTTTTCGGACCCGGCATTATGTGAGCTAGATGGACTTGGGAGTGCCCTCCTGAAATCAGAAGCAGTCACCCGTGTTAGGGGTGGTGGCGATGAGGACTTTCTGTTCATCTCGACACCCACCCACCTCGCTTTATACCCAAGCAGCTCGACCTGAGCTTAAAAAAAAACCGCGCGGGGAGGAAGAAACTGCTCTGGACATCGCTAGTTTTCTAGCCTCCCTTCTGCGACTAGTCGGATCGTAACACACACGCACACACAGAGAGATGATCGCGCCCTCTCCCTTAGAGGCAGTGGCATGAAATGCTAGGCGACCGCCATGGCAGAAGTATGGCAGGATATCTCGTCCTGCCACTTGTTGGGTGCTGGGGGTGGAAGGAAAGCTCCGCATCACTTCTTGCCCCCGCTCCGCAGGAACAGGCGAAGGGAGCTGGCAGCCGCCCCGGGTGCCCGGCGAGCGCCTCCCTCCCCTCGGTCTAGCTAGGCGTGGGCTTGGGGACGTCGTGTAACTGCAAATGCTTTTTTCGGAATGCGGCTGTTTTGAGCGTTCGTTTGAAAGCGGGGACGCGGGGAGGGGGGGGAGAGAGAGAGAGAGGAAGAGAAGCGAGCGAGCCTAGCCAGCTACGCCCGCTTGTGTGCTGCTGCTGCTGCTGCTGCGCGTTTGTGACTCACAGGAGCAAGAGCGCCGTCTCTTCCGCGGGGTGGTGGAAGAGGCAAGCAGGGTAGCGAAGGTGGAAGGTGCAGCGCATTCCCGCCCTTGGCAGCTTCCCGAGGCAGGCCGATCGCCTTCACGACGTCGCTCTTCCGGGACTGGTCACACACAGGGTAGAAAGGGACGTAGGGTTTGCTCACACCAAGACTATGCACTATAGGTAGGAGTGTTCCTGTGTAGCATGATGTATTCCTTCCTCTCCGGGTGATGCTCTTAGCATGAGTGCTTTGGAGAGAATGGAAGGAAGCCAGCTGGGAGATTGAAATGTATTGTGGAGGGAGGCCTTTTGAAAAATGCATTACCGGAATTGAATAGGGTAAGTTTCAGAAGGCTCGAAAGAGGATGATGTGGCTGTGGATCATGTGGAGGTAAACGAAAGCATAAGCCCGTATGGGCTCGA